CTCTCTGTCCCCCTCTCTCGTGCTCTTTCTCGCTCTCTCTGTCTCTCTGGTGAGTGCACATGCCCTATAGGAAATTTAAAATAATAATAATGGCAATAAATAGAATTAAATAAATAATTCTAAAAAAAAAAGTGAAGAGACCAGCTAAAGTGGCACAGCGGCAATACAATGCTCCACCTGTTGAGGCCATGTGGGAAAGGCCTGTGTTTGCATCTTGGGGCCTCCCTGTGCACACAGGGGGGGCTAAAGCAACCCCGCCACAACCCTGGCTGGCCGAGGCTGAGACTGCAATGTGAGATCCTGTCGGGAGACCTTTCTGTCTTTGTTACAGAAGAAATAAACAAATTTTCAGGACCAGCAGTTGGTGTAACGGTTATGTCACTGGACTCCCATGTAGTTGACCGCGGTTCAAGTCCCGGACCCAGTGGCTTAAACTCATACTGGGCGCGTGTGCGTGCGTGCCCAAGATCCCGAGAGGAGAAGGGATTGCGGCGTGGCCATCATCCCCCTCCCCCAGGGGTGATTTCTTGCTTTCTGTCTGTCTTTCTTGGTGAGTGCTCACAGCCTATAGCAAAAACCTCTCTTAAAAAAAAAGAAACTTAAAAAAATAAAATAAAAAACTCACCCCAGAGGCCATAGGTGCCCCAGGGAAGACGTGGAGGCAGGTAGCCAGGAGCTCGATGGTAGCTCTGCCACCTGTGAACACCAGGATCTGGGCACAGCATGGGTCCTCTTGGAGCCTCGGTGCAAACGGCACTGATGGCAGCAGCTCCCTGGTACTGCGGGAGAGTGTGAGCATGCCACAGGGGGCCTCAGCAAGGAGGGCTGGGGGGCCACCGCCACTGTCCTGTTCAGAGCAGAGGGGAGCTGTGGGAGGGCGGCGGAGGGTACAGTGACGGGTGAACCTGGCGGGTCTGGGTTCTCCGGACCCTGCTCATTCCAAAGAAACACCTGGCCCTTGAGGGGCGCTGGAGGGAGCCCTGAAGTCCCTGGGATGTCCTGCCTGCTAAGAGTATCTTTGTTTACCTGGGGCCCTGGGCCACACAGCAGTCAAGCTGACTGTGAGCCACATCGGAACCTGGGCTACTCGGTATCAGCTTGATCACTCGGGGAGCTGGAGACCAAGGTCAGCCATGCCAACCTGACCAGCCCCCGGTAAGTGCCCCGGACACCAGGGCCAGATGGTGGCACAATGGTGACACCACACTGTGTGAGGCTGACCCATGTGGGAGGATTCTGGGTTTGTGTCCAGAGACCTTCCTGAACACCCTGGGAATATGGCCATGATCCAGAGCTGGCTGAGGCCATGAGGGGTCACCGAGTGAGGCCGCTGTTCAAGGTGCTAGCTCTCAGTCTTGTTCTTGCTCAGGAAAGAGGTAAACAAACAAAAATAAAAACAAAAAGCTTAGGGGCCAGCAGGTGGTGTGGAGGTTAAGAGTGCTGGACTCCCACATGGCTGACTATGGTTCGAGTCCCAGACCTGGCGGCTTTCTCTCTCTGTTCCTCGCTGGTCAGATTAAACCAAATAAATAAATAAAGTTCAAGGGGGAAAAAAAATGCTTAGATGCCAGGCCTCAGGTGAGCTGCCCTGGTTGGCAATATTCCATGCCTGCTGCCACACACGGCAGCCGGGAGAAGCAGGCACCGGCCTCAGGGTCCCAGTGGGAGAGGGCAGCAGGAAGCCCTCGCCTGGTCTCTCCCAGCCTCTGCCCCAGGTGCCCTTTCCCTTTGCTGGCGCTAACTGCCCTTTCGCTGTAAACTGTCATGGTGGGTGCACAGGCTTTTGGGAGCTCTGAGAGTCCCTCCAGCGAGCAAGGGAACCTGAAGCTGGCCTTGGGGACCTCCAACATGAGCAGGATCCTGGGAGGAGGAGGGGCAGAATTGGGGCATCTGGCTCCCAGACTCCACTGCCCTGGCGTCCTGCCTCTCTCCCTGGCTGCTTCTTGTCCATCTCCCTCACCTCCCCACCGGCCACTGGTCCCTCCCTCTCGCCCCTCAAGGCTGGCGCTCCCCAGGGCTCAGTCTCACATCTCTTGACTTTTGTGTTCACACCAATGAATGTGATGGTACTGCGGAGGGGGCCTGGGAGGTAATCACGTGTGAGGGTGAAGCCCGCATGAATGAGATCAGCGCCCTCATAAATGAGACCCCAGAGGCCAGGCAGTGGTGCAGTGGTAAAATACGATGCAATCCCACGTGGGAAGGTTCTCAGTTCAAGTCCAGAGACCTTTCTGGGGATGCCAGGCATACCCTTCCCACCATTCAGGGAGGGCTGAAGGCTCCGGTGGATCACAGCATCAGGACCCCATTGGGGTTGCTGACTGTCTCTTGTTCTCTGTGTCTTTCTTGTTAATGGGAAAAATAAATAAAAATAAACTTACCAAAAAGAAAAAAAAGAGAGAGAGAGAGAGAGACCTCAGAGAGTCCCCTCATAGCACTCCGCGATGACAGGACACAGTGAGAAGACGCCACCTACAACCGGAGCGTGAGTCCACACCAGACACCGCATCTGCTGGTACCTCGGCCTCACGCTTCCCCGCCTCCAGAACGTGAGGGACACAGGCACGGTACCCTTGTCCAGAAAGGCTGCACTAGAAGCGTCTCAGATTTGGCATTTTTTTCAGAGTCCAAGTATTTGCATATACATAAGCCTAAATACAAAATTCGCTCTTTTTTTGTTTTTGTTCTTGTTTTGCCAGAGGGCACATGTATTCTCCAGGGGAAGGGGGAGATCACCCCCTATGGGACATGTTCGCACTGCAATCCATTTTCCTCCATTTCTCCATCCTGCTGGGATTTGGGGCATGCCTGTGCACACACACCCAGTGTGTTTCTTAAGCTGCCGGGTTCAGAATTCAAATACTGAGTCGGCCATAAGGAGTCTGGCTCCCTTAACCACCAGGCCACGGACCTGACCCCACTTGTGTTTCATACACACCTTACATACATAGCCGGAAAGAAATTTTTTTTTTTAATTTGTCAGAAAGAATATATATTAACCAAAGAGAGACAGAGAGAGAAAACAAGAGGGGAAGAGAGGAAGCACTCCCCATAGCAATGGCCATGCTGCAATCCCTTCTCCACCTCTCCCTCCTTTCAGGATTTTGGGCATGCACACACACGTGTTCAGCATGTTTTTCAAACCGCCAAGTTCGGGACTTGAACCATGCCGTCGGCCATGTGGGATCCAGCGACCTTTACCACCACGCTACCAGCTGGCCCGAAAGAAATCTTATACAATATTTTTGTTTGCGCCGTCGGCCATGTGGGATCCAGCGACCTTCACCACCACGCTACCAGTTGGTCCGAAAGAAATCTTATACAATATTTTTGTTTGGGTTTTGGTTTGCTTTTAGAATTATTTTATTTAACTTTATATACTTATTCATTTAGTTAAATATGACCAGAGAGGGGCAGAGTGAGAGAGTGAGAGAGAGAGAGATAAAGTGAGAAAGCAAGCCACCAGGTTGGAGATTCAAACCATAGTTGACCACGTGGGAGTCCAGCGCCCTTAACCACCACACCACCTGCCGGCCCCCTATTTCTGTACTGCAGTGTTTTGACTACAATCTATCACATGAGGTCAGGATGGAATTTTCCATTTGCTCATCATGTCAGCACTCAAAAACTTTCGGATTTTGGAGCAATTTGGATTTGGGGTTTTTGTATTATGGACACCTGACATGCAGGTACTGTTTTAGCTGCCCGCTCTATAGCAATCTGGTGTAGGATGACACTAATTCCCCAGGTGGCCTCATGCAGACCCTCCAGCTCAGAGCAGTTTCTCTGCCCAGTCCTTCCCCTTCCCCTCCAGACCCAGGTTCATAAGCCCACTCTCTCCTCTCCTCAAAGTCCTACAGCCAAAACTGGGCTCTCGGTCCTCCCTGCAGACCTGTCTCCCTGCCCCGACCACAGCCTTCTGCATCTCAGTAAGGGGCAGCTCCACCCTTCTGGAGGCTCAGGCACCCTTGGGGACACCCCATTCCTCCCTGTCCCTGCTGCCCAGCCCCCACAACCAGTGCATCAGCTAATGTCAATGCATCCTGGCTGTCCCAGCATCTGGCCCCTTATCCCACTTCCACCACTATTCCTCTTGCGGGAGCTACCGTTCTCCCTCACCTGGACAAATGTAAGAGACTCTTTAATAGGTCTCCTTCCCTCTGACAGCCTGTTTTCACGCGGCAGCCAGAGCGTTGTCGCTGACATGAAACCATCTCACGTCCTCTGCTCAGAGCCCTCCAGAGCTCTCGGCTCACTCAGAATCAAAGGATTTAAGTCCTCACTGTGGCCCACACGGCCCGGCACAATCTCCCTCTCTCACTCTCCTCTAGCCACAGTGGGATTCCCAGGCCTCCTGGCTGTTCCTCCACACCAGGCCCATTCTCACCTCGGGGTCCCTGCACTTGCTCTTCCCTCTGCTGGAACATCTTCCCCCAGACAGCCGTCAGGCTCATTGCCTCTCCTCACTGAGGTCCTGGCTCACCTGTCAGCTCCTCGGGGAGCCCTTCCCCGACCACTGTCTAAAACAGGCGCCCTTCTCGTCCCTCTTCATCCTGCCAGTCTGCCTCGTTGCTCTTCACAGCACTTACCACTACCGGGCATCTTATTTTATTCCTTGTCTCCCCGACTGGAACGGCGGCTCCGTGAGGGTATGGCTTCCTCTGTCCTGTTCACTGCTGAATTCCCAGTGCTTAGAACAGGGCCAGGCTCCAAGAAGGTGTCAGTGGATATTTGCCGAATGAATGGATGAGCAAACAAGCATGACAGGGCCAGAGGGCCCCACCCTCACCTGCAGCCGGGCCAGGACGTGGTGGTAGTGGAACAGGGTACAGAAGTCCACGTGGGCGGAGAACTCCTCCAAAGCAGTCTTCTCTCTCGGACTGGAGTGGAAGTCCTGTTACCTCAGGAAGCAAAACCGCTTTTTAGAATCCTTTCCTCCTCCCCAGGGGAGAAATTCTTTCCCTGGCCACCAATACACACAATCAGAGATCTGGACTCTCACATTTTTTGTTCTGTTTGGGGTGGAGGTGGGTTTGACCAACTTTACTTACCAAGAAATTGAGGCAGCCAACACACTGAAAACCAGGACAATTACTCGCCTACTCACTCAGTGCCTATTGTATGCCAGGCGCTGTCTGTCAGCATGAGATCTTCTTCCAGCAGACACAAGGAGGTTGATGGAATTATAACCCCCATTCTTTAGCAGGGAAGACTAAGGCTTGGGAAAGTCACTTGCTGAGGGCCTCAATGTCTGTGTGTGGTGGCGCCAACACAGGCCTGTCTGACTTCAGAGCACACATGTTCCACTACTTCTTTTCGTTTCCTATCTCAGTGCCCTGGGTATATGCTTCCACTTCTCTGACCTTCGTTTTCCTCATCGGCAACAGAGGATCACACCCTCGTTCTCAGAGGGCTATTGGGACAATGTGGTAAGCTTATCTGTGTCCATGTGTGTGTGTGTGTGTGTGTGTGTATGTTTATATAAGTCTATTTGTGCATGTGCATATCAAAGTCTAGCAGAGGGCTTAGTATGTACGGTGGTGTTCAGTAACTATTCAATGAATGGATGATAATCCTCTGTAATGACAGCTATGATGATGGTGGTTAGATAAGAGCTCAAGCTCTAGAGTAAGAACAGAACCAGGTGAGGTAATTAAGGCACCAAAGGGTGCAAAATTCAAAGAGGTGCTCACTCTTAGAGTCAGGCAAGTGCCTTGCTCACCTCACCCTAGTCCCAGCCCAACTTTGGAATCAGACCACTTAGGTCCAAATCTGGGTCACTGTGCTGTGGCCTTAAGTAACTCATTTTCTGTCTGCATGTTGTGGTGACCTCATCTTTGAAATGAGGACGAGAGTGGCATCTCTCTTACTGGGTTGTTCCAGTGATTCAACACTACATGAAAAGTGCCTGGCACCATGCCAAAGAGTAAGCTCAACTAGTGTGATAATAATCATGATCACAGCTTTGTGACTTTATAGGTGTAATAATTATTACTAGGTAGCAGAAATAATAACAATGAGGGTGACTACCATATCCATTTTACAAAGAGTATCACTTCAAGCCCGGGAAAGAGAGTCGGAAGCTCCACCAGCACCTCAGAGCTCTTGTCCTTGCAATCCACCTCACCTCGCGCCTACGTGAGACTGTAAGGGGACCTGAAACTACAACTCCCAGGAGGCACCAGGGCAGCCCTCTATGGTATGTAGGGCTCTAACACCGTGAAGCCTGCCGGGAATTGTAGTTCCCAGGCTTTCGGACCCGGGACAGGAGGTACCTGTATCAGGAGGCGGAGCAGCTGCTCCTTGGAGAAAGGAATGAAGCGCTCGCGATACTGCTGGGCCCAGTCGCGGGGCTCCGTGGGGTTCCACATCTTGCGGTACTCCCCCATCTTGGCCGCCAGCGACGACAGGGCCCGAGGGGGCCCGAGGCACGCAAGCATCAAGGGCCATGCTCGGACCCTGGACCCCCAGGTCCACCGGGTCACATGCAGCATGGCCAGACCCTTTCCGTGGAGCCTAAACAGAGGGAAATAACGGGCCAAAGGTCAAATGGAAGAAAAGCGTCCTCCCCACCTCCATGTCCCATCCTCCGGGGGCTGTCCCTGGCCAGACTGAGTGCAGACAGAGTACGTCCGTCCGCCCTGCAACCCCTCTTGCCAGTCCCCTCCTACACTGCTCAGTTGGCCTGGGTTCTACGCAGGGGTCAAAGGTCTTAGGTTCTGGGGCGTTTTACAGACCGAGACCCTATAATTGTACAACTGGTTTGTTCAGGGTCTAGACGGCGAAGTGGCTCTTAAAAGCATAAGAAAGGCTACACGGGATGCAGGGCCGCCCTCCCCCGGCCATGCAATCCCCCGCCTTCTTCCCTCACCTTAGCCAACGTTCGACTGTCATTGAGCCTTCTGCGCATGTGTAAGAGGGCGACCTGGGCTCAAGATTTGGCTTCAGACATCTGTAAAACGCATGCGTAAATCCTAGGTCGTTGCTATTGCTTTTGTCTGTCTTAAAAGCGCATGCGCTATCTGCCCGCGGGGCGGCCCTGGCCTCGTTTGGGCGCAGCGCATGCGCTGCAAAAGAGTCTCCTTGTCAGCCTGTTTCAAAGGGAAGGGGCGGGACAGACACGAGACTTCTTGGGGGATGGGGAGGGACAGGGCTCCCGCGAGCAGCCAGCCAACGGCGAGCAGACCAACGTCCGCTGAGGCCACGCCCCCACTCCTGTCAGCCCCTGAGTAGGCGGGGAAAGGAGGGGGCGGGTCTTAGGTGCAGCCAATCAGCTGTGGGGAGTGAAAAGGCGCGAAAAGGCGGCACCAAAAGAAAGCTGAGGTGGCGACAGGGACCAGGAGGTTTTTTGAAGAGCGGGCCTCCAGGTGACACAAACCGGTCTAGAGTAGGGGTGGCTCCAGTCAGGCAGCGTCACCCCAAGCCCCAGCATTCATTTTGTGGTCCTAAAGGGGAGACCCCAGTTCTGAGGAGGTAACCTAGTGCCTGGGTCATGGCCTCTTCACCCTGACGGGGCGGCTCACTTCCGAGGTTCCCCACGTCGGAGGTCCAGGCTCCCAGCTTGGGGAAGTGGTTTTATGAAGCTAGAGCTGGGAAATAATCCCAAGTCACAAAGACCTTGAGGTGCTAGGTTCTCCGTGATGGGTGCAGGCACTGCACAACCGGACCGGGCGCCCTCTGGTTCAGACCTCCCAGGGCTCCGGCCGCCATGCCGCTCCCCCAATCCCCCCTCCCTCGAGATCCCACCTGCGTCTACTCAGAGAACCCTGTCCTTGAGCTGGGTCCTCGGGCTCCTGTGTCCAGGGACATGGCCCCAAACTCCTAGTCTGGAATCTCCTCACCCTGCACCTCCTCTCCGGGGACCCCTGGCTCCCTTCATTCCACAGCCCTCTCAGCAGATATGCCTTGCTTCTGGAACCTGAAACCGCTCCCTCACCCCACGTCTTCCACTCCTAGGACTTCCAGGGGCCCCCTCACGCATGTTGCTGACTCCTGAGACCCCACCACCACCATCCCTTCACCCCCTGCCCCCACCTCTGGAATCCTCAGCCCCCTTAGCCTGTATCCAGCTCATGGGACCCTCAGCAACTCTCATCTTGTACTCCCCTGACCCCAACCCCGACCTTAGCAGCCCCTTTGCCCCATTTCATGATTCCTTAGAGCTTCCTTGGCCCCATACAACTTCATTCCTGGGACTCCCAGCACCCCTACCCCATTTCCTCCCTCCTGAGACCCCCAGCAACCATACACTGTATTCCTGGCTCTAACATCCCCCATCTGTGTGATCTTGCAGCAGCCAAGCCCTGAGGTGGGCCTGGAGCCCCCAGAGAGCAGTGCCCAGCAGGCAGCCCCCAGCACCCCTGCTCCTGCCTCCCAGAGCCCCCGAAGCAGAGCAGCCGCCATGCACATCCCCGAGAGCCTCCAGGAGCTGGCTGACAGCGAAGCCGTGCAGTTCCTGAAGAGGCCAAAGACGGTTGCCCGGATCTTCACAGGGGTGAGGCCCTCCTGTGGCCCACCTGCACCCCTGGGTGACAGTAGCAGGCCTCAGCTCTCAGACATAGGGTGAAGGTAGTCAGGGGAGAAAGGGGGTAGATGAGGATATGAAACGAGAGGAAGTTAATAACTGAGGCTAGCTTTTCCCCAGTATCCAACTATGTGCCTGCACTATTCTGAGCACTTTTTTTTTTTTAAGTTTATTTCTCCCATGTACAACAGACATAGAAAGACAGAGAAACAGCCCCTCTCAAGACCACTCCATGGTCCATCCCCAGCTTCACCAGCTCAGATCATGGGCATGAGTTTGCCCTTTGTGTTCAGGTTGATCTCTGACACAAATCTGGAACTTTCCCATGTGGCTCAGCTCTCAGCACTATTGACTCACAAAGGAAGAAACATCCTTGCAAAGTAGGTGCTGTGAACCCTAGTTTTGAAATAAAACTGAGGGTCAGGAAGTTAAATAATTTTTGTTAAGACTGTGCTGTCCAATGGGGTTGCCATAAGCCACATGTGGCTACTTCAGTTTGAATTAATTAGTAAAATATTTTGTCCCTCAGTCGTGGTGGCCACTTTTCAGGTGCTCCCTATGTGACTGGTGCCTCCCACACTGGACAGCACATTTTCATCACGCCAGAAAGTTCTATAGGACAGCACTGGATAAGGATATTCAGTAAGAGGCAGGGCCAGGATTTGGCGATTCCCAAACCTTTTCATTTCCCACCTCTTGGCAGGAAGTAAGAGAGGAGCAGGGACCAGGACCTCTAGGAAGAACAAGGTGCGCACAGGTGGAAAGAGACTGTGTAATTAGACCTACAGTCCTGGGTATTGGGCATCACTGTGTACCAAGCACTGTGCCAAGGGTTTACCATGCTTTCATCATCACCACATTTCTAAAGAGTCTAGAGTGATATCCTCAGTCAGCACAGACTTTATTGTGTGATCTTGAGCCTGTTGATAGTCCTCTCTTAACCTCAGGCATAAGGGATTAGAGCTCTGGCCACAGCTTTTGGCTGTGCTGCTTCCATTTTTCTCTTTTGGCAGAATTGGAAACTGAGGCCCAGGGAGATGACAAGACTTTTTTTTTTTTTTAAGTTTGTTGATTTACTTTTTTTATGAGTAAGGGACAGAGAGATAACACCCCCAATCCACCGTCAGCCTCAATCAATCCTGATCATGAGCAACTGTGCCCCACGTACTCAGAGAGGTCTCCAATGCCAACCTGGAAGTGTCCCACATGGGCTTTCTGTTTTATTCTTGTACCACCATTTGAGCCCAAGTTGATGTGACTTGAGCAGGGTCACAGGTATAAGTGGAGTACCCTAGATCAAAACCATTATCTCCTCCAGATTCTTAATCCAGGGTACCTCCTCCCTACGCCTCTGGAACCTGTGGGTCGGAGAGGGAACAAACAGGCCTGACCGGTGATCCTGGCTCAGCCATGTGCTATCTGGACTGGGTGGCATATGTACTTCTCAGTTTGCCTGGCCTGCCCCTGTGTAATTAGCAGCAACAGCAGCAACTTTCAGGCTCGACAGTGCTCCATTCTGCTTGATAATTCACATGGTCACCCTGTGCTTGTGTGACCTCCAGCAGGTTAGTTGCTTTCTCTGAACCTCTGGACTCTCATCTATAAAAAGAGGATCCTAATACCCTGCTCGTAGGAAGGACTGTGTGAAAATGAAACAAATTAATACCTATAAACAGCATGGGCCTGGCAAGTAGCACTCTCCTTAAATAACGATTCTTACTGGAGTAAATCAGTAGTTGTCAGCAAGAAGCAAGGTAGATTTCGGGGGCTTAGGTTGATAGGGGCTGTGTCTGGTATTTTCTTCCACAGGGAAAGGGGAACAACAAATACGGGCTCCTCAAGTCCTTTGCTGGTGTTAGCTCCTCCACTCCAGGACTCCATGACATAGGCGTTATTAGCCCCGTCTAACCCGAGGGAAACTGAGGTTTCCAGAGCTTGAGTGACTTGCCCAAGGATATTACCCAGCTGGTGAGCAAATCAAAACTGGGATCTCCCACCCTCAGAAGGAAGGAAAGGCCAGTGGCAAGGAGAAGGAGGCCCAGCTGGCATGGACTGGTGTGGGAGAGGGAGGAAGGGCCGCCAGGCCATGGGAGACGTTCTGGTCACGGACTTTGCCCGCCGCCTCCATCCTCCCTCCCGTCCGCTCTCTCCTGCCCCCCTAGCTTGACTCCTCAGTAGGGAGTCTCTGGGCAGCTGGTGCTCTTGTCCTGGCTGCCGCCTGCCAGCTGGTGCCTTAACTGATGAATCTTTGCTCCCTCCCTGGGGACAGGCCAGGGAGGGCATGGAAAGAGGCTGGACTCAGGCTTCAAAGGGATAAGGTCCCTCCAGCCTCACTGAACCCCCCCTCCAGTCTCCAGTACCTGGGCTCTTGCTGCAGCCCAATGTTTTTGGGGTCAGTGGGCAGACAGCCCACTAGCCTGGAAGGAAATCAGGAGAGCTGGACTCAGCTCCCCCCTCCACTACTGACTGACCTTGAGAGGACATGTCCCCTCTCTAGGTGAGTCATGAGAACCACCAAGCAGCCACCCCCATGTTCCTCCTTTTTGTAGCATAGAGACAGACTAGGAAACTGAGGCTCCAAGAAGTGAATGATTTGCCCAAGGCCAGACAGCTGGCAGAGTCAGCTGTGTTTGGCTCTTTCCATTCCACCATAATGGCTTCGATTTATCACCTGTGAAACAGAAATGAATTAATAACATCTACCACGTGGGCCTGGTGCAAGGTTCCAGGGAGGTAGTGCAGGTAAATGAATATGGGCTCAAAAATGATAGATGTGTTTTTCCATCCTCAACCTGGCTCTGCCTCAGACCAGCAGGGCAAGGCGTTCTCTTCCTATGGGCTCAGTTCCTCAGCTCCAAAACAAGGGGTTCATCCTACGGCCTCTTTGTAAGGGTTGCTGTGAGGATTGAGGGAGGCAATGGATGTTGGAATAGCCTTGATTATACTAGAGTGCTAGGCAAAAAAAGAGAGATTTTTTTTTAACTTGTTATGGTTGTTATTCAGAGAAAGTGATTAAGGCAAAGGAGAGAGGATGATGGAGGAAAGCTGAGATTAGGTGTCTCCTCCATCCCCACCCCAAAGGGTAGACTAGGGCAAGAGCAAAGAGGAAGGAGCCAGAGTCACTCACTCTCAACATGCATTTGCTAAGGTCCAGTCGGGCTGGGTACCGAAATAGAAGGGTCCAAGAGGAGTTCAAATTTTAATGAGGAGACTCTCTCAACATTCTCTGAGCCTGCCTCCCCACCAACCCCAGCCACCAACACTGCCACATCCAATCAATCACCAAGTCCAATTTTACGTCTTAAATATTACAGGATTCCCCAGGGCTTTGGCCTCAGCGTATCTCACCTGAGCCTCCTCACCAACCTCCACAAAGGTCTCTTGGCCTCTGGTCTTGCCCTGCTCCTGTCCATCAGCCACATGACCCAGAGGACTTCTCTAACCCCCAGGTCTGACCCTGGTCATCCTGCATGTCTAAGATTTGTTTTTTCAGGGACCAGCAGATGGCATAATGGTTATGTTACTAGTCTTTCACATGACCAACCATTGTTCAAGTCTCAGACCCGGCAGCTTGAAACTCAGGCGAGGCACCAGGCATGTAGGCAGGTGTGGCCAAGATCTCGGGAGAATGGAGAAGGGATTGTGATGTGGCCATCCTCCCAAGGGGTGATTTCTCACTTTCTGTCTCTCTGTGTCTCTCTGACAAGTGCATATGCCCTATAGCAAAAAAGTCTCTCTAACATAAAAAATAAATAAATAAATAGGTTTTTAAATTTATTTTATTTATTTATATTTTTGTCATGGGGTACATAGAGAGACAGAGACAAACTGAGAACTCACCCCTCTGGGGTAATGGCCGTGCTGCAATCTCTTCTCCTCCATTCTCTTCTCAGGATATTAGGCACATGCCTGGTGTGATTTCCAAGCCTCTGGGTCTGGGACTGAAACTACATAGTTGGCCATGCGGGGTCCAGCTTCCTTAACCTCCAGTGCCACTTGTTGGCCACATGCTTAAGATTTAATCCAAATAAGAAATTTAATTTCTCCCAGCTTCCCAAGCCCAAGCCCTGTTGTTAAGATCTCTTACAGACTGGCCCCCACCTGCTTTTCCAGCCTCATCTCAGTGGATCCATCAGATCCCTGACCCCTGAAAAAGCCCTGGCCTGTAGCATCTGGCTTTTGCATATGCTGTTCATCCTGCCTGGAATACCCTTCCTCATCTGTCTGCCTGAAAAACTCATCTTTTTTTTTTCCTTTGGAGAGGTTTTTGCTATAGGGTGCGTGCATTCGCCAGACAGAGAGAGACAGAGAGAAAGAAAGCGAGAAATCACCCCCCAGGGGGGATGGCCACACCGCAATCCCTTCTCCTCCATTCTCCTCTTGGGATCTTGGGCATGCACACACACGCACCCTGCGTGAGTTTAAGCCACCGGGTCCGGGACTTGAACCACGATCAACTATATGGGAGTCCAGTGACATAGCCATTATGCTAATTGCTGGTCCCAAAACTCATCATTTTTAAGGCCCCACTTAGAACTCAACTAATTACCCTAAATCCAGCCCCTGACAGATTCTCACTCAAACATTGACTCTCTCCTCCAGCCTTCCTCCCTGGTCTCCTAGTTTCCAGACTCCCTTCTTCTTCTTTTTTAATAATTGTCTATTTTAATTTTATTTACTCATTCATTTTAGTTTAATTTGACCAGAGAGAGAGAATGGGAAAGTGAAAAAGCAAGCCACCAGGTCCAACACTTGAACTGTGCTCAGCCATGTGGGAGTATCCAGTGCTTGCCTTAACCACCAAGCTACCTGCTGGTCCCCCAGACTTACCGCTTCTTTTTTTTTTTTTTGGATACGTTTTTGCTATAGGGTGCATGCGCTCACCAGAAAGACAGAGAGACAGACAGAAAGTGAGAAATCGCCCCCCGGGGGGGATGACCACACCACAATCCCTCCTCCTCCATTCTCCTCTCAGGATTTTGGGCACGCACGTACATGCGCCCACCATGAGTTTAAACCACTGGGTCCAGGACTTGAACCACGATCAACTACATGGGAGTTCAGCGACATAGCCGTTGCACTAACTGCTGGGCCCAACTCATCCCTTCTAATACACCTTTTTTGTTTGTTTGTTTGTTTATTAAGAGATTTTTGCTATAGGGTGTGTGCACTTGCCAGTGAGAGAGAAAGCAAGAAATCTCCCCCAGGGGTGTGGGCAATGGCCATGCTGAAATCCCTTTTTCTCCATTCTCCTCCTGGGATCTTGGGCATACATGCACACAAGCCCAGCATGAGGTCAAACCACCAGGTCCAGGACTCAAACCACAGTCGACCATGTGGGAGTCCAGTGCCTTGACTACAATGCCTCCTGCTGGCCCCTCTAATACACCTTTATATGGCTGGCTCAAAGGGCTCTTTCTATACCCATAGCTGACCCTGCCCCTCCCCTGCTTGCAATTTTCTCATGGCTCCCTAATACATTCCAGATAACATTCCCATTCCTTAGCCTTTCCTGTTCCTCACCCTGTACCACCCCTTATAAACATCGCCTCATCTAGAGAGCCCTCCTGGGCCAATTCCCAGCTCCTGCACCATGATTACATAGGCTCCTTCCATGTCCTGTTTGCCACAGTGCATTGTGATTGGGACAAATGATGAAGGCTGCAACTTTTCGCTGAAGCACAGTGATAGTACCCCTGCCTCTGTCATTTGGTCCAGCCTGGGGCAGTGCAGCCAGGGGTTAAGAACAGACTCAGAATGGACTGCTTCACTTCAAATCCAAGCTTTGCCGCTCTGGCAGAGCTCAGCCAGCTCCTTATCCTCTCTGAACTGTGGTTTCACTGTCTTAAAAATGGGATAGAAACAGGACTGTTAACAGTGCACAGGCCAGGACCAGCAGATGGCATAATGGTTATGTCACTGAATTCCCATGTATTTGACCACGGTTTGAGTACCAGATCTGGTGCCTTAAAACATACCTGGGCGTACCCAAGATCCTAAGAGGACAATGGGGGAGAAGGGAGTGCAGTATGACCATACCCCCTGGGGGGTGATTTCTCGTTTTCTGTCTCTCTCTCTCTCTCCCCATTGAGCACACACGCCCTATAGCAAAAATCTCCCTTAAAAAACAAATATAGTGCACAGGTCCTAGAGTGGTTAGAAGGACAAACTGGTTCAGTGTTTGCTGAGTACTTTAAGAAGTAATCATATGTAGGGACCAGCAGGTGGTGTGGTAGTTAAGGCACTGGACATTCCCACATGGCCGACCACAGTTCAAGTCCCAGACCTGTGGCTTGCTTTCTCTCTCTCTCTGGTCAAATTAAAAAAATAAATAAATAAGTGAATGAATAAATAAAATTAAATAATTCTTTAAAAAAAAAAGGAAGTAATCATATGTGTCAGCCTGTGCTGTGGTAGTTAAGGTGGCTGAAGCCCACATGGCTGACTGCATAGCCAAGTCCCACTCCTAACAGCTTAAAAACCACACCAGGCACCTGTGCATGAGTATCCAATCCTGAGAGGAAAATGGAGAAGAGATTGTGGCATGATCATTCCCCCCAGAAAGTGCT